AAAAGCTTAAAATCCTGTTCTACAGATTACCCGCCCGCTTTACATTAAAATACCTAACGCTGGCATAGCTCTGAAAATAGAAAGCACAGCCTAAATGGTAAGTATTACTATTCTTATTGTACTACAGCAGGGAGCTACATCCCTTCTAAGAGGTTAAATACGTACATCTATTTACAGGCTGTAATTTTGAGCTGCTCGCTATACTGTAAGCATGTGGACTTACAGCTGCACCCCCACCTCCCCAACATAATCACATTTCTCAGCTTTTCTTCAAAAACTAATGAATCTCGGTGTGATCCAGAGACCAAGGAGCTTTCCCTGCCTGCCACACACAGCTTGGGCTCCTTGTCCTTGGCAGCCTTTCCTTTCTGACTACACCAAGGAGCACCCAGACATGCCTTTCTCCCATAACCTCATATGGAAAGTGTGTGACTCTGATGACTTATTAATGACTCAGATAAATAAGCTCAGAGAGAGCTGACACCACTACAGCCTGAGAAGACTCTCGGAGGCTAAATGACAATACCACTCCAGTCAATTTGCTCTAAGAGAGAGAGATGTGTTTTGCTTTAATTGCATGTCTGGACTCTGCCATGGACTACGTTGGCTGGTCACGCCTGCCACGACCTGCTTTGTTTGCAAGTTCTCTGTCCCTCTTTTCTGTCTAAAGCTCACCACAGTCTATGTGTACCTGGAAAAGAAAGACAGACAAAAAAAGAAAAAAAAAGAAAAAAGAAAAAAGAGTATTTTTTGCATTTATAGTTTCATTAAGGAGGAGGTCAGATTGGAGTGGCTACCTTCAGTGCTGGGCTCTGTAATCTACAGCCTCTGACTCTTCTGTGCCTGGACTACCCCTGTCTCTCCCAGCCTAAGATAGCTGTAGCACAGCAGCAATCTGCTTTATTCCTTTCTGTTCTCAGTGCCTCCTTCTGATTGCTTCCTTAATTCTCTTGGTTTACAACAGAAGCGTATCTCCTGGGGTTGCTTTCAAGGTGCTGCCCCAGTGTAAGCTATGGCAAGCCTAGGAGCCCTTTGCCACTACAGTTGTGATGGTTCCTGGCAAAAGATCCTGGAGCAGAGGCAACCGTCCCAGCAAAAACTGAGCTACCTAGAGGTACACCAACCCCCTTTTCACAAGTAAAACAACAAACAGGTAAAAAAGTGATTTGGTTGGTATAACTGTCAAACTGCTCCTTCCTGTTCCCTGCCCTCAGTCTGGCAAAGAGGTGTCCTGACATGAGTTAGGCTAGGCTAAGGCTTTTGGCAGCTACACACATTTTTACCTTTGTAAGCCACTTGAGCTTTAAATAGCAATTGGACAAGACGAGGGTAACTCCCTGAATCCTTCCCATCACAGATTCAACAGTGTCCCACCTGCACATGGACTTCTTTATTTATACAGAGGAGCCACTTACACCAGTAGATTTATCACAGCCTTCCCACCCCATTTTGCACGTAGTACTTTAACACACAAGGACATGCAGTCAACATTAAACGTACCTCCTCTGTAATAAACTCCCAAGAAGATCACACTATTATGACTTAATACCTAACTATCAGGTACCCTTACTACGGTTAGAATTTTGTTCTTTATGACAAACTAAAAAATAAAAAAAATCAGTTAATATGTACTGGCAATTTACTGTGAACAGCAGAGCAAAAGCCAGCCTTTGATGATAAGGTTGAACTGTAACACAAACAGCATGCCTAGGCTAGGAGGTAAGACTCTTACATCCCTGCCAAGACACAGGCACGGAACTAGGCATGATCTCCTTGCTTTCTTACTCCCCTTTCAGCCAGGTGGATTAAACACAGAAGGACAACCAACCACCAGCACCAGGACATTGCTCTTCAACTACTGGGCAGCAGAGCCATAGAGCTGTTGCAGAGTGTACCTCCCACTTGTAAAAAGCAAAAGCAACAGAGTTGCAAAAATGTACATAAAAGAGTACAGATACAAAAATAACACAAAATACATAAGCACCCAAAACTAAAGCATAGGGATAGATGCCTGAAGAGCAAATTCTACTACAGTTGCACTCACTTGGTATGCTTCAAGACATAGAACTTTGCTTCAGAAAAAAAAAAGATGGCTTCAAAAACACTAACTCAAACTTTCAGCTAGTCAGACAACATTGTTTTCCCAATGACTAACAAAAAGGTGTAAGCAAAAAAATAAATTGGCACATTCATCATTAGATTTATAAATACACAACAGATCAACCTACAACACGAAAAATTCATTGCACTTAGAAATTCATGGCTGTAGATTATTTATTAGCTCCCCTTTGAGCAATTTTAACTGCTGAGGAACTTGATGAAAAAAAGAAGTCCACGAAATGTCTCTGTTTAAGACAAGACTAAACAATAAAACTGGTGGAGGGGGCATATGACACGTTGGCATCAACTGGTAATACTGTGTATTCTGAATTACGCTTTTTGAACTAGAGTCATATTTGCTGTTACACAAAACAAATAAATACAAGACCATGGCTTGCTCTGGCTCCCAGTGAAGTTAATAGCAAAATAAAGTTTACTTCAACTGGAAAAGGGCTTAGAAAACCCAAGCAAACAGAATAAGCCCAAAAGCAGGATTCAAGACAAACTTCCCAACAGAAACCACTTGAAATTAGATATTACACAGCCCAGGTTCCAATTTTTAAAAGATAAATGAAAATTCCCAATTAATATTCAAAGAAAGCCAAGGGTCCTTTCCTCATGTGTACAGATGGACCATACCAAGAAGTAAGAACAGACTGAAGGACCCAGACTTAGGAAATTCACACGAGGCAGCGAAGCAGCCTGCATAGAATCCAAGCAAGAAGGATGCCAGTGGCCAATGCCAGATGAATTATCAATTTCTAAAGAAATAAAATAACTTGAGCTAATTGTTTGCATAAAAGAATACACAACTCCAAGACATCTACCAAAAACCTCAGGCTAGACGATAAAATTACTGAAAGAAATTTTGTGTTACTGTACTACACAGCACACCAGGCCCTGTTTCGAAAATGGACCTTCTAACTTTTATGTGCGTTATGAGCAAAACCAGGATGAGACTGCTACCTGAGCAAATTTAGAGATGAGTGTAAAAGTGGAAACATACAAGTTGATAGTGTCTTCCTTGCAAATGCAATCAGTATTACCAATCCTTCCTCAATAAGTTCATCAGAAAAACAGAAAAAAAATCCAGAGGAGTAAGAAAGCACCAGAGGCACAGACACCATGGACAGAACAATAAGAGTAGCAGAACAGGGCAAGCAGAGAAAGGGAAAATGAGACTGCCACAACAGAGGCCCAAGAGACAACGCTACAGAAAAGGTGAATTACACAGCACCATTTATGCTCTTATTAAAGAAAATCAGGAACAAGAGCAGACGTTTCCAATAGACACCGATGAGCAGCATAAGAAAGAACACTTCCCCCCAAGTGATTAGATGGTACATGACTCTTTCAGTGATTGCTGTTTCTTGATCTTGAATGCTGGACAAATTTCCATATGGCTTTTGTTTCCTCAGTGAAAAAGTAAAGTGGTTATTTTTCTCATTGATGTTTCTTTAAAAAAAACCATGATGGGCTTTGCTCAAAGAAGTGCCTGGGCTTTGATCTCACTAGATCAGCATGCCAGTGTGGGTCACAGCCTTTCCACCTGTTGTACCTAGTTAAATACCTCGTCCAGTTTAGCATGCCACTTACTTGACTGGAGTGTTCTCTCTCTCAAAAAAAGGATACGCTATGCTGCCCTGCCAGCACCGTGGAATACACGCAGCAGTTTGCCATCTCAAATGTGCTTCTAACCAGCAGTGATAAGTGATCAGCAACGTTGGCTGGATGGGGAAGTAAGGGAATAGGCAGGAAAGGAAGTCCTTATTGTCCCTTCTCTCACTTCCTTCTGCTCCTATTGGTGTATCGTGAACTTCAGGAATTTTCAACCTTTTCCATATACAAACCATGAGAAGATCCCAGGGGAGGTGCAGGCCCCTTCAGCCATTTCGCAAATTAAAATCACTGCTCAAAAGTAAGAAGAAAGCAAAATAATACAACTTATCAAACTCCGTCCAATGAACTGGCAAGATGCAGACCCCTCAGCCACAGTCTTCTCTGCTCCAAGGAGCAACGTTAACAGACCCACAGTACCCATTTGGTCTTGTAGTCTCAAGGCCTTGGGGTTCTGGGCAAAGACAGAGGATCTCATATACCCATA